AAAGAAAACAAAAATTGTGGGCAAGTCACTCCAACATATAATCACCAATTAAATACAAACACAAAAACATCACAATGCCTCGGAGACAATAGAGCATCACAGTCCACACAAAGAAGCAAGATAAAGCAGGAGAAACAAGGGACCAAGATACAGACCCAAAACACATTCCTGAGGAAGACACAGCATTAGAACTCCCTGATAAGGAATTCAAAAGAATTATATTTAGGTATCTTCAAAGGATTGAGAGACAGACCAAGGAAAACACAGACAAAACCCTAAAAGAATTTCAGAAGAAAATACAAGAACAAAATGACAAATTAAATGAAAAATTAAGAAATGATTCTAGATCTACAGATAGAAATCCAGAAGATTAATACTAAATTTTCAGAAATAGATAATACACTGAAAGGGCAAAGGAGTAGAATTGATGCAATGGAAGACAGAATTAATAAGATTAAAGACAAATACTGAATACTTCTTTGGAAAGGAATCAATCAGAAAAAAGATCAAAACAAAATGAAGAAAGTCTAAGGTTCATGTGGAATACCATCAAAAGGAATAACCTACGTGTCATTGGAATTCCAGAACAAGAAGAGAAAAATAAAACCACTGAGAAAACTGTCCAAGATTTGTTGGAGGATAACTTCCCTGATATGATGAAAGATGAGAATATACTCATTCAGAAGTCCAATGAACTCCAAACAGGATAGACGCCAAAAGAAAATCACCAAGACATATCATCATCAAACTCACCAAAACCAAAATCAAAGAAAGAATCATGAGAGCAGTATGGGAAAAACGAAAAGTTACGTACAAGGGGCAACCAATAAGACTAAGCTCAGATTTCTCAGCAGAAACTATGCAGGCGAGAACACAGTGGAATGGTATATATAAAACACTGAAAGAGAAAAATTTCCAACGAAGAATTATGTACCTAGCAAAACTGTCCCTCAAATATTATGGTGAAATTAGAACATTTCCAGATAAGCAGAACATAAGGGAATTTGTTAAAATCAGACCAACCTTAAAAGAGATGGATAAGGGAGCCCTTTGGACAGAGAAGCAACAACAGCCAACAACAACTGACCATTAACACACATGAT